ATTAGTGTAAATAATACAAAACAGCATTAGAGTACTATGAAATATAATCACACATGATAGTGCTTTAAAAGACTGTACGTAGACAACCACTCCTCAGACGGAAAACTCTGACAGGAATATTCACGATGAACAGAGGATCAGTCCACTGACGCCGGTGAACGTTTGACCTCCGTGCTATTGTCAGTTTAATAAATGCTCCACCAACACTTTGTTTACACTGTCCAAAGTCAATGTGCTTTTGTTGACCCTGACCTTTGCCGACCTTTTCTCTGGCACCACAATCCGTCCACACAAAATATTAAATCTACCTGACTGATAAGCTTATCAACACAACTCCACAAATTTTAACTGTGGCACAAAAGGAATAAATCGTTTAATTTTCTTGTAGCACCACCTACAGGGAAACCTTTGTATAATTATATTGTTATTGCCTGTTAGCCCTCCTTTAAAGACTGGGTGTTCCAAACCTGTTGTACTGCTTCATTTATTTCATTTAAAGGTAAACTTACCGCCATCTGTCTGAATTTCTATTTTCCATATCACCAACTTTAAATGTTATATTTTTTTTATTTATAATGCATTTTTAATTCCTGTGTATAATTGGTATTTATCAGTACCACAGATGTGATAGTCAGACCAAATACCATGAAATGTGCATCACTCTTGATCCCCAAAAGAATCAGTTTAATTCATATTTCATAAATATAACCTCCTGTGTCAAAACATACAGAAATATTAAACACACTCTGGGCTAACACACTCGTACACTGTGTGAATGTTTAACAGTAGCTACTGACTGAACAACATGGAGCTCACAGAAGCTATTACGTTAGCCCAAACTTGATCAAGATGGCTACCTCGGCATAAACAAGACCCCGTTAACCACTACACTGGCCTAAACAAGATAACTTTAGTAGCAACGCTAGTTTAAACAAGATCGCTTTAGCAGCTAAATGAGTCTAAACAAGGCAGTTACATTAGCCGAAGCATGATAACTTTAGCAGATGCATAAGGCTAAAGTAGCTTTAGGAGCAACGTTTACCTCAGCTAGTTCACGTTAGCCTCTACTTTAGCCTGAACAACATAACATTAATAGCTATGTTGGTCTGAACAAGACAGGGCACATTAACCTCAACAAGATCATTTTAGTAAGGTACACCGGCCAAATGAAAGGCAATATTAGCCTCTACGCTAACCTAAAGAAAACAAGGTTAGCTAAGTTAGCTTAAACAAGACAAGGTCAGCAGCTACGTTTGCTTTATAAATATGTTTACCATCTACTTTAACCTAAAAACATATACGTTAGCATAAACAATATAATAATGACAGTAACGTTAGTCTAAACAAAATCATGTTTGCTAGCTATACTAGCGTAAAAAGATAAGGTTAGAAGCTACATTAGCCTGAACAAGATAACATTAGCCGCTATATTAGTTTAAACACGCTAACGTAGCCGAGACATGACATGTTTGCAGCTACCTTAACAAGATAATGTTAACCAGTAATATTAGCCTAAAACATATAACTTTAGCCAAAACAGCATAAGGTTACTCGTCTAGATGAGCCTAAACAAGCTATGTTTGGTTGAACAAGATAAATAAACTCCTGCGTTAGTTTAAACAAGATAAGCTTAGCCTGAAAAGAGATAACTTTAGCAGCTAAGTTACAATACATGAGATATTATCCACTACATTAGCTTCAAAAAGGTTAAACAGCTAAACTAACAAGCTAACAATAGCCTTTGAGAACAGTCTACACGGAGCATTAACGTTCACATTTATGGATGTGAGCCGTCAAAGATTTGATCAGTTTCTTCACATAAGGAAATTTTCCTCTCTAATTTAATATTAAGGTTAAGACCGACCAAACATTATTTTGTATTTTGTATATTATGCAACTGCATTCAGCATATGTTCGACCTAAAATGTTTATCGGCTTACAAGCATAAAATCGTGTGTAACGGCCAATTCATTGCTTATATGCTTCAACATTTCTACAATCAGTTTGTTGAAAAGAGCTGAAGTTGGTATCAACATACATATGTGCACTTGGCTTGAAATACGTCTGTAACAAACTAAAACTAAGAAATCTGAGGTCAAATAACCAACATGGCAACAGAATGCAGCACACATACAGTTCTTAACAGTCACATGTGGCAGCCTATTCACATAGAAAGTGCTCTCTGTGTTGAGAGAAAAGGCCTTTCTAAAGACTGCGAGGTCCCCTGTGCTGAAAAAATGGACATAACCTCGGCATTCTGTGGGCCTCAATGGTAAGTTGCTGAGTAAGGGGTTCTCTGAGGGGGGGGGGCACTGGTTCTTTGCGTTTGGTCAGGTATAAAAGGAAAGGGTTAACCAGGTAGAAAGCAGTACAGGAGCAACAGCAACAGCAACAACTCATCTGCAGCCAGCATGAGCAACTCCGGCATGAACATGAGGGGCAAGGTAACCATCTCTATGGAAAGCACACAAGCTGCTGCTGGGATTTAACATTTGCTGCTTTTTCTTACAACCACTGTATTTTTTTTCCAGATCATCTTCTACGAGGACAGGAACTTCCAGGGTCGTTCCTATGAGTGCATGAGCGACTGCTCTGACATGACCTCCTACCTGAGCAGGTGTCACTCTGCCAGGGTGGAGAGCGGCTGCTTCATGGTCTACGACCGCCCCAACTACATGGGAAACCAGTACCTGATGAGGAGGGGCGAGTACGCCGACTACATGAGCATGATGGGCATGAGGGAGTGCATCAGGTCTTGCCGTATGATCCCCATGGTAGGTTACAAACTCCTCTCTTAAACAGATTTTCACGTCAGTAGGTTTGATCGCAACTTTAACAATTTGCATATTTTTTACTTACAGCACAGAGGCCAGTTCAGGATGAGGATCTACGAGAGGGAGAACTTCAGCGGTCAGATGTCTGAGCTGATGGACGACTGCGACAACATCATGGACCGTTACCGCATGTCCGACTGCATGTCTGCCAACGTGATGGACGGCCACTGGCTGATGTACGAGCAGCCCCACTTCAGAGGCAGGATGATGTACCTGAGGCCCGGAGAGTACAGGAGCTTCAGGGAGATGGGAATGAGCGGCATGAGGTTCATGAGCATGAGGCGCATCATGGACTCCTGCATGTAAATGTCCACTGTTCATTGTCAATAAAGTTATAATTCTGCACTAATTTGACTTTTGTCCAGCTTATTATTGAACTAAGGATGATCATACTGAACATATGCAATGGGATACAAACCACCGCTAAAGGAGGCTTAACGTTCTCAGTGTGTTCGTCTGACTCCCCCAACGGTTGACTGTGGATTTAATTAGATTTGACGACACGCTAAAAGATTTCACTTGTTTTTTTCTGTGAATTTGCCATTTTCGTGCCAGTTCTCACCTTCGGGCATGAATATTTTTCTCTCTGTTACTATTGGTCACCGCTGCTGCATCCTGGGTTCAGCACCGCCCAGGACCACTGTGATTGGTTGATAGAAATACAAAGCAGAATGTTTTTCCCAGTAGAGGAATGATTCTCCAGCATGGCCCAGTGCCGGGGAGACAGGTCTGGATATGCAAGCCTAAGACTCTGTTTTTCCCACAAATGTAATGCATCTAAATGAAACTTACCAGTTTATAAGTTGACTTAGTTGTCAAGGATGACTGAGTAGCTCTGGTATTGGTGTATTATAACCAAATATGAGTTGACTCTTAGCATATTAATCATTAATTAGCTAATTATATGGGCAGAATGGTATTTTCTCAGTTTTTCTCACCATCACCCCAAAGACTGCATGGAGGTGGAGGTTGGCAGGTGCTGCTGGTAAATGCTTTTTACTCCTACATTTATTTGGCGTTGTCTAAAGTCTTTAGAGCTTTCTTGTTCGTATTGGTGGGGGAGGCTGCACACTGGTTGTTGGCAGCACTTGAATGAACATCTGTACAGCAAATAAAACACCAACGAACACCAGCACTGATGCAGAAGAGCAGCTGTGGTCCCCTGTGGTGGTCACCACGACGTTACGGAACCAAACTCTCCATTTGTTGGTTTATGTTGTACTGAAGTGAAACAAGGCTACAGCCCCTAACTCTGGTAACAGGAATCCACTGAGCTTAAACTTCATGACTTCTTTGAAACCTCATGTATCACTTTTATTCTTATTGCTCGATCAATGTATTTTTGCAGTGTTAAGATTAAAGCACGACCGTCTTCTCTATCTGCATCTTCTCGGTATGAATGTGGATCATGTGGGTATCACGGGCGTCTTTAGGCCTTCGGGTGGTTAAATGTGCTTTACTGTTGTCCCATGTCAGTTGCTCAACTTTAGTATTGTTGGACCTTTATAACATCACCCCTCTTGGATGTGACTTCCTCGAACAAGATCTTTTAATCTCAAGAGGCTCTCTGGTTGAATAAAAGTTAAATTAAAAGAGATGAACTGTGTTGATCGTCCGATGTGACGAGGCACAGTGAAGGAATAGTTAAACATGGTGGCGACCACAGAAACCGGTGTGAGCTATGGGAGTCCTCTGAACAGAAAACAGAATCTCTTTAACTGTGGTTTGTTATTTTTTGGTGCTATAGACAATAAAACATCTGAACTTCCTGCTGCTGCACCAGAGACAGTCACTCATTTGCATATGATCAATAAGTACATTTTTAAAAACACATATTGTCAGAACTGTTTTGAATTTAATTTAGAAAATACATATTTTATACACATAAAATGCATTATTAAATTGTCACTGCAGTTTATTGTTATGTTGCTTACAAACAGACCAATATTTGTCCTGAGAGCTCAGTTTACCATTAAAGAGCCTCACTGCTTATATTTGGGCACAAAATGCTGCAAACAGGTTCATATATGAAATCCATTAATGTGACAACGTTTGTCTGAACAGCATGCAGCTAAAGCTTCACTCATTTCATCAGATTTCTAATTTTATTTTTACTTCCGGCTGCTCTTGTGTTAATTCACTCATTTGTTTTTAGATTTTAAACGCTCTCTTTAGTATTCGTATTATTTGACTAACTTTGCTTTTTAATAATTCATTGGTCATGTACCTTATTGGGCTGCAAGGTGAAGCGGTGGTTAGCATCGTTGCCTCACCGCAAGAAGGTCGCCGGCTCACGTCCCAGTGAGGACACCCGGAATCTATCTACATGGAGTCTCCATGTTCTCCCCGTGCAGCGTGGGTTCTCTACAGATTCTCCGGCTTCCTCCCACAGTCCAGAAACATGCTGAGGTTAATTGGTGATTGTAAATTGTCCGTAGGTGTGAATGTGAGTGTGCTTGGTTGTCTGTCTCTAAGTGTAGCCCTGTGATAGACTGGTTACCTGTCCAGGTGAACCTGCCTTCACCCTGAGTCAGCTGAGATAGACTCCAGCCCCCCATGACCCTGGTGAGGATTAAGATGTAGATGATGGATGGAAGTTCCTTATTTGTGTGCATATGTCTTTTATTTTATCAAATATCATTAAAGAAAAGGCAACGTTTACAAAAATCACTCAAATAACTAGAAACTAAAAAAAGTAATAATAAATAAAAATTTGTTAAATTATAATTTAGTGAAATAAGATGTTGCTTTTGAATTGTGGTTGAAAAGCATATCTAAAAAAAATAATAAAACTGCCCTGGACAGCTAGAGCACTTTGCTGATGAGCAGTGGAACCAGAATACCTGTCAACAGGTGCACAAGTTTGACTGAGAGTTACAGAAACACCTGATTGGCTCAAAGGGTTGTTCAACTAAATATTAGTTTATGGGTCCCATCATGCTGGTTTGCTTGTTGTTTTGTTTTGTTTTGTTTTGTTATAATTATTTCTGTTGAACCATAATTCAAAACCAACATCATGATGTTCATTAAATGTTTAGTTATTATTACTTTTGTCAATTTCAGCTTATTTCAGTGACAGCTGTTTATTTCCTTATTTAATGGGAGGCTATGAATACGTCTGAGGACGACTGTAGCGCTGTTTCTAACAACATTATCAGCAAATTAGTCATGAACAATAAGCAGCACTGATATATATATTTTTTATATTTATTTTCTATTTTTTTCCCCATGAGTTCAAACACATCAAGCATTTTTTTTTTTTAACCCTAACCCATCTAACACTCTGACACAGATATAACAACCTTACCACTGATAAACAGGCTTTGTGTTACCTTGTCAAAGGTGTAACATTTCCAAAGTCTTCGAGGCCCAGTCATGTGATGCACGGCGGCCGGTTCGCTGCTCTATACCATGTTGCTGGGTCAGGCATTTCAACAAAGGGGGCCCACTGACCCTGTAGGGTTCAGGCAGGTATAAAAGCAAGGGTTAAAGCCGACAGGACAGCAGTGCAGCAGTAGCAACAGCAACAGCAGCAGCTCACCTACAAGTATGTCTACCACCGACATGAGCATGGGCATGGGCAAGGTAAGCTCCACAGTTCCTCTGAGCTCAGGTGGTCACCTGTACAGATCAGAGTCTGATGAATGTGACTCTTCTGTTCCAGATCATCTTCTACGAGGACAGGAACTTCCAGGGCCGCTCCTATGAGTGCATGAGCGACTGCCCCGACATGTCCTCCTACCTGAGCAGGTGTCACTCCTGCAGGGTGGAGAGCGGCTGCTTCATGGTCTACGAGCGCCCCAACTTCATGGGAAACCAGTACTTCATGAGGAGGGGCGAGTACTCCGACTACATGAGCATGATGGGCATGACCGGCGGAATCAGGTCCTGCCGTATGATCCCCATGGTAGGTGTAAAACACAACGATGTCACAGAGGAGCGACTTCAACACAACGCTGGATGTTAATTATCGTCTGCTCTCTCCAAACAGCACAGAGGCCAGTTCAGGATGAGGATCTACGAGAGGGAGAACTTCGGCGGTCAGATGTCTGAGCTGATGGACGACTGCGACAACATCATGGACCGTTACCGCATGTCCGACTGCATGTCCTGCAACGTGATGGACGGCCACTGGCTGATGTACGAGCAGCCCCACTTCAGAGGCAGGATGATGTACCTGAGGCCCGGAGAGTACAGGAGCTTCAGGGAGATGGGAATGAGCGGCACAAGGTTCATGAGCATGAGGCGCATCATGGACATGTGCTAGACACTTTTATTTTGAAATAAAAAAACTAAGATGAAACTTGAATCTGCGGCTGCCCCTGTTCTTCTATACCTTCTGTAAACCACTAAGTAAACAATCATGAGGATTACTGAGCAAACCAGAGAGTCAGACATTTTTCACCTTTAGCAGAAATATACATAAAAGCACATCATAAAAACAACGTCATCAAACAGACGACTGCAGGTTACAAATGTAATCAGATCTGCCACTACATTCATCTGTTTACATGAACTTTAAACTCATTTTAATCTGATTTAAATCAAAGAAACATTACAAACGGTAATTATTTATCGTGTCTGAGACGTCCTGACTCTGGTGAAAGAACCAGTGGAATAGACAACGTTTATTTGGCATTAGATCTGTCAGATATTAACATCTAGAACAGTCAGGCTTGAGCCCTGTTGGTATTTTATATGCTGATGTATATGTAAGAAGGTCAAATGAAATGTCTTTAGGACATGTCTGGCTGAAAACACACGAACAACAGGCTACACAAACACTAACAGGATCAATTCTGTTCAGGCTAAGAGCAGAAATCTCTAAAATAAGTCGCTCTTTACTTTTCTTGCAGTAAAACTTGTGCTGCGCTCAGATTATTGCACAATGAAATGTAGGTTTACTCCAACCACCACAAAGTCACATTAGCTAGTGTGCTAACAGCTCTGTTGTGTGTTTGCCAAAGTCTAATTTATTTTTTGCTGCATAAACATCATAAAAACACACCTTCAAAATAAAAGCTCAAGCCCTGTTGCACAAGCGTTTACCTTCCAGGTGAGACGGGAACATTGTTCGGTCCGACATCAACATTCGTGACACCAGAAATTAAAACATTGTTTGCTGTTGGCTCAAAGTCAGCAGTTTGAATCACAAACATAAATGATTTGATCTAGAATGATGGAAGCCTGTGAGCTGAATAACTCGTTCCCATCAGCACTCACGAACAGAGGCTGCTGCTGACTCGTGGCTTCCACACAATGGTGTCATCAACTGTTTTGATGTCACGTTAAGAATTAAAAAGGCT